TCTTCTCTTATCAAGACAAGGGTTTCAAGAGGCTTAAATCTAATATATTTTCTTTCAATTTTTCTCGGTAAAACTAAATCGACCCATATGGGTGGAACTAAAATCACTCCTAAATGGAACCTTATGTTTGGTTTGTGGGAAACGAAGGGAAAAGCAAAAAGAGGATGGAAAAAGATTGTAAAATTCTTCCCACTAAACGATGGAAAGTACTATCATTGCGTTTTTTTCTTTTTTCTCATTCCTTACATGAAACATTAACCAAAAAAAAGGAACCCAAAAGCCAAAAATGATAAAACTTTTATAATTATGACAAAGAAATTGTTAGATTTTTCTTATACAAGAGATACACTTTGTCAAACACTATTACGAAGAGAAAGATAAGGAAATTCGAATCCATAACTTAAGTCTAATAGTAAAGCTGTGGCACCGTTAATCTCAAAAGTCACATGCTTGAGACACTACTGCAATTTACACGAACAACTAACCCCTTCCAAAACCTCTCTCCTTTCCTTCAAGCACAAGCCTCTGTCCTCGCCGGACCTGCAAAGAAGGCCTCTAAATCAGGTGGCTGAAAATACCCATTTTTTGGCGGCTTCCGCTTCTTCAAGTACATCGCTTTCTTCCTCGGAGGCGGCGGACAAACAACCGCTGCCGGAATGTCTCGCGTCGGCGTCCTACAACCACCACCACCCTCTTCCACCACCATTGAATAACCTCCACCCTCCATCTCTCACCCCCTCTCAATTACACCAAAAATACAACAAGCCTGTGCCTGTGCCTGTGCCCATGTGTGCGTGTGAATATATATATAGTAGTAGTTGCCCCATATTTTTGTTATTACTGGCATCATTGCCGGGCTTGTTCGGGAAGCTGCTATTTTTTGACTTCTTCAATCGTGTGGTGGAAGCAACTAGAGGCCCTCCTCAACCACAAACCGCCCCCACCCCAACACCTACGCACCAAATCCTACTTGGGCACTAAATCTCCGTCCTTTTGCTTACGTGGACTGTGACGTGGTCAATTATTTACCGTTGATCTAAAAAGGCCCCCAAGAAAGTTGGGTAAAATGGGGGCAAATAACACTCTGTAGCTTAAAAGATTTTCACGTTCTCAATTTATATTTTAAAAAATTAAAATTTTTATATTACCTTCTCAATTAAAAAAAAAATAACAATGTGCACTATTTTAGAAAATTGGGTACAAAATTTTTATTGAAAACTCTTAAAACTGAGTATTATACAAATAATCGCGTTTAAGAACATGGTAACATAACAAAAACAGTAAAAAAAAATTATAAAAAAAGAAACAAACTTTTAATTTTGAACTATATTATCACCTTTTTATCTAATTGAGAGTTCAATGTCATTGAGGATCAGCGATGACATAATGGCTTTGCAGTTCGCTATGGTCCGTTAGGTCAGGTCGTGAGTTCAAACCTCATTAGTCTTCTCTCCTAAAAAAAGTTCAATATAATAATTTAATATTTTATGGTAAAAATTAAAAATTTTAATATATTAGTGGTGTAAAGTGTCATTCACCTGTAAAAGAGTGATGCTCGGGAAGGTTCTGGGAACAAGTGGTTCGAATCTGGACCAGTCGTTTTTGCGCGCTTTTTTTAGCCCAATGAAAAGTGATGATGCTTGGCTTTATTCCATGTTTTGTTCTTATTCCCTTCGGTGGGGCACAATGGGGGTGTGGGGTCCATACCATGGTGGATGGATTTGTGTGGGCAGAGATGCTGCACGTGCACATAAGGTTTTTTGTTTTTCTTTCAAATACTATTTATTACACGGAGGTAAATGAGATCCGAACCTGTAATTTTTAAGGTTAACGTCAAGAGGGATGACAATTAAACCAACCAGTTCCCTCCTATCCAAAAGTTCTTGAACTTGAGGACGTCGTTTTCCTATGTTATGGATTGGGATGTAGGTGTGCCAACTTTGTTATTACCCCACGAGCAGTCTTTTGGACTCAAAAGTCGAAGACTTTGGAATCAATTCTTAGGCAAACTTTCAATCATGATTAATTGATTTTTTTATTCAATAATTAGGGATATGTTGATCCAAATTTGGATTTGTTCAATCAAATATATAGACTAATATTTTTATCAATTTATTCAAATTTATTTAAATATCTTAAATCGAATACCTCATATTTCTCCTTCGACAACCTAGTAGCAGGAGGGATTTCTTTCATTTTTTTACCTCATATTTTGTAAAAGAATTTTTTCTTAACTTACCTTACTTGATCAAGTGTGGTATTTTTACCCAACTTCCTACCCGATTAATCGAGCAGAAAGTCGAGTAAATATTTTTGTAGCTATTAATTTTTGGATCATTTTAATAATTCAATTAAATAACATACACTAATTTAACAACACAATAAATTAATAACACTAAAATCTAAAACAACTATAACAATAATTATAATAGAACATAAGAAAGCATGAACATCAATTCATCATACTTGTTACACAAATACAATAACAATTATTTTAAATTTAAACAAAATAAAACACATTAAAATCATAACTGCTCCAATAGATCACTAATTTACGAAAAATCATGTAACCTACACAAAAAATAAGTTTATGTTTTCGCAACTCAAACATTCACAACAATAACAATGTTATAATACAAATTATACCACACAAATACTCTTATAATTATTAAAAAAATAAAAAAATTAAATATATTTTTTACTGATAGGGTAGGGTAGGAATGCAAAAATTGATGAGTATTCCACATTTCTATCCGATTTAATTAGAATACCAAAAAAAAATTTGCATTCCTACCCAATTTTTCCGATTAGCCGTTCAGTAAGATCGAGTAGGGTAAAAAATTGCGGTCAATCAAAAATATAAAGACCCCTAAGTAACAGAGATACACCTAACCCTAGTTGTATTTCTTGTTTCTGATTGTGGTATTGGGTCGTTGACGGTAGTGGTAATGGGTGATTGGTAGGGTGTTGCCGTGATAGTTGCTATGACGATGGCGGTACTCCGACGGTGAGGGTGGCGATGGTTAAGGAGTCATTGATAGAGTTGGGCGGGGTAAGTTTTCTTGGGTTTTGCAGCTTAATGGATGAGTTCAATTTTTTTTTTTGATGAACGGATGAGTTCGATTACGTAAACAGAAATGCAAATAATGAAATTAATTGCGGTAATTAAAGGGTCAGTTGCTTGATTCATAGGTTTAATATTTAGGATTAATAAGCTTGATTAATGAGATAATTTTTTTTATCAAAATTAATGGGATAGTTAATTGATTACTTAATAGAAGAGTTTAATTATAGAAAACGTAAATACAAACAATGAAATTAATTGTGTTAATTAAGGGTTGGTTGCTTGATTCATGGGTTTAATTTCTAGGGATAATTAGTTTGATTAATGGGATAGCTAATTGATGACTTAATAGACGAGTTTAATTATTACATAAATTCAATTAACGAAATTGAAGGTGTTAATTAAGTGGTCAATGACTTAATTAATGAGGTTAATTAATTAATAGGAACAACTAGTTAATTGATGGGGCTAATTTTCAAATTAACTTGAAGATATCAATGGTGTTAGTTGCTAATTAAATGGGGCTTTTATTGCTTAAATTAAATTAATGGAATAATTAAGTTGATTAGATTGATTAATGGATTTATTGGGATTTTACAAAAAAAATTAAAATCGTGGATATTTTAAAATAGAAAAAACAAAATTAAGAAAAACTCGTGAAGGTTGATAGGGCTGTTCATGGGCCGGGCAGGGGCTAAGCCAGTGAAATTTTTTTCGGGCCGGGCTAGATAGTATAAGCCCAACCCCTTATCTAACTGAGTTATCGGGCGGGTCGGGCCGTGCTTCGGGTAGGGGTAGGCTACCTGCAGCCCAACACACGGGCTTGTTGGGTGGGCCTGTTTGCCGAATTTTGTATATACATTTTTATTTAAAAATAATGAATATTTTTGTAACTTAATATTTGTGTAAATTATATTTTTGAATCAAAAGTAAAATCAAAATTGATAAAAATAAAATAATGAACTACATCTAATAGAATGAATAAATCTCAATTATGGTGACACCTTCTAACTTATTTGTCATTTGTATTACTCTANTTGATAAAAATAAAATAATGAACTACATCTAATAGAATGAATAAATCTCAATTATGGTGACACCTTCTAACTTATTTGTCATTTGTATTACTCTACCATTTAAAACTTATATGTTTAATACNAATTAGGTTCAAAAACAAATACACTAGTTCGGACAAAATTTAAAAAAAAAAAAAAAATTTCCTTCTTCTCTTATCAAGACAAGGGTTTCAAGAGGCTTAAATCTAATATATTTTCTTTCAATTTTTCTCGGTAAAACTAAATCGACCCATATGGGTGGAACTAAAATCACTCCTAAATGGAACCTTATGTTTGGTTTGTGGGAAACGAAGGGAAAAGCAAAAAGAGGATGGAAAAAGATTGTAAAATTCTTCCCACTAAACGATGGAAAGTACTATCATTGCGTTTTTTTCTTTTTTCTCATTCCTTACATGAAACATTAACCAAAAAAAAGGAACCCAAAAGCCAAAAATGATAAAACTTTTATAATTATGACAAAGAAATTGTTAGATTTTTCTTATACAAGAGATACACTTTGTCAAACACTATTACGAAGAGAAAGATAAGGAAATTCGAATCCATAACTTAAGTCTAATAGTAAAGCTGTGGCACCGTTAATCTCAAAAGTCACATGCTTGAGACACTACTGCAATTTACACGAACAACTAACCCCTTCCAAAACCTCTCTCCTTTCCTTCAAGCACAAGCCTCTGTCCTCGCCGGACCTGCAAAGAAGGCCTCTAAATCAGGTGGCTGAAAATACCCATTTTTTGGCGGCTTCCGCTTCTTCAAGTACATCGCTTTCTTCCTCGGAGGCGGCGGACAAACAACCGCTGCCGGAATGTCTCGCGTCGGCGTCCTACAACCACCACCACCCTCTTCCACCACCATTGAATAACCTCCACCCTCCATCTCTCACCCCCTCTCAATTACACCAAAAATACAACAAGCCTGTGCCTGTGCCTGTGCCCATGTGTGCGTGTGAATATATATATAGTAGTAGTTGCCCCATATTTTTGTTATTACTGGCATCATTGCCGGGCTTGTTCGGGAAGCTGCTATTTTTTGACTTCTTCAATCGTGTGGTGGAAGCAACTAGAGGCCCTCCTCAACCACAAACCGCCCCCACCCCAACACCTACGCACCAAATCCTACTTGGGCACTAAATCTCCGTCCTTTTGCTTACGTGGACTGTGACGTGGTCAATTATTTACCGTTGATCTAAAAAGGCCCCCAAGAAAGTTGGGTAAAATGGGGGCAAATAACACTCTGTAGCTTAAAAGATTTTCACGTTCTCAATTTATATTTTAAAAAATTAAAATTTTTATATTACCTTCTCAATTAAAAAAAAAATAACAATGTGCACTATTTTAGAAAATTGGGTACAAAATTTTTATTGAAAACTCTTAAAACTGAGTATTATACAAATAATNACCTTAAAAGATTTTCACGTTCTCAATTTATATTTTAAAAAATTAAAAATTTTATATTACCCTCTCAATTAAAAAAAAAAATAACAATGTGCACTATTTTAGAAAATTGGGTACAAAATTTTTATTGAAAACTCTTAAAACTGAGTATTATACAAATAATCGCGTTTAAGAACATGGTAACATAACAAAAACAGTAAAAAAAAATTATAAAAAAAGAAACAAACTTTTAATTTTGAACTATATTATCACCTTTTTATCTAATTGAGAGTTCAATGTCATTGAGGATCAGCGATGACATAATGGCNTGTTTAGGAACATGGTAACATAACAAAAATAATAAAAAAAAATTATAAAAAAAGAAACAAACTTTTAATTTTGAACTATATTATCACCTTTTTATCTAATTGAGAGTTCAATGTCATTGAGGATCAGCGATGACATAATGGCTTTGCAGTTCGCTATGGTCCGTTAGGTCAGGTCGTGAGTTCAAACCTCATTAGTCTTCTCTCCTAAAAAAAGTTCAATATAATAATTTAATATTTTATGGTAAAAATTAAAAATTTTAATATATTAGTGGTGTAAAGTGTCATTCACCTGTAAAAGAGTGATGCTCGGGAAGGTTCTGGGAACAAGTGGTTCGAATCTGGACCAGTCGTTTTTGCGCGCTTTTTTTAGCCCAATGAAAAGTGATGATGCTTGGCTTTATTCCATGTTTTGTTCTTATTCCCTTCGGTGGGGCACAATGGGGGTGTGGGGTCCATACCATGGTGGATGGATTTGTGTGGGCAGAGATGCTGCACGTGCACATAAGGTTTTTTGTTTTTCTTTCAAATACTATTTATTACACGGAGGTAAATGAGATCCGAACCTGTAATTTTTAAGGTTAACGTCAAGAGGGATGACAATTAAACCAACCAGTTCCCTCGTATCCAAAAGTTCTTGAACTTGAGGACGTCGTTTTCCTATGTTATGGATTGGGATGTAGGTGCCAACTTTGTTATTACCCCACGAGCAGTCTTTTGGACTCAAAAGTCGAAGACTTTGGAATCAATTCTTAGGCAAACTTTCAATCATGATTAATTGATTTTTTTATTCAATAATTAGGGATATGTTGATCCAAATTTGGATTTGTTCAATCAAATATAGACTAATATTTTTATCAATTTATCCAAATTTATTTAAATATCTTAAATTGAATACAAATATAAAAATTCGATCTGATTAATAATATATATATATATATATATATATATATATATATATTTTAGCATTTTATTATATAAAATATACATATACATTGATTATTTTATATTTGATCTTAAAAAAAATATTTGTTCATTTTTTGGTGGAATACCATATGGATGTGATCGGATAGTCTGAATGTCAGATTCTAATTGGATTCGAATATAGACTATTATTTTTCTATCCAATGAATAAATGGATTGAATTTGATAAAGAATTGTTTAATCGAATTAGGATTCGAATGGACTCAAATAACAAGTCTAATTAAGGTTTTCAGGTCAATTTATATTCACCTGATTTAATTCTTTATTTTCTATCCGATTAAAGACACACAATTTATGCACGAACCAGAATATTAATAAAAGATAAATTCTTTTAATTTTAAGAAATTGTTAATATTTAAATTCAGGATGTCTTAAGAGAAAAACATAAATACTGGGTATGATTTCTCCTTCGACAACCTAGTAGCAGTAGGGGTTTCTTTCATTTTTTTACCTCATATTTTGTAAAAGAATTTTTTCTTAACATACCTTACTTGATCAAGTGTGGTATTCTTACCCAACTTCCTACCCGATTAATCGAGCAGAAAGTCGAATAAATATTTTTGTAGCTATTAATTTTTGGATCATTTTAATAATTCAATTAAATAACATACACTAATTTAACAACACAATAAATTAATAACACTAAAATCTAAAACAACTATAACAATAATTATAATAAAACATAAGAAAGCATGAACATTAATTCATCATATTTTTTACACAAATACAATAACAATTATTTTAAATTTAAACCATATAAAACACATTAAAATCATAACTGCTCCAATAGATCACTAATTTACGACAAATCATGTAACCTACACAAAAAATAAGTTCATGTTTTCGCAACTTAAACATCCACAAGAATAACAATGTTATAATACAAATTATACCACACAAATACTATTATAATTATTAAAAAAAATAAAAAAATTAAATGTATTTTTTGCAGGTAGGGTAGGGTAGGATTGCAAAAATTGATAAGTATTCCATATTTCTACCCGATTTAATTGAAATACCAAAAATTCTTCCGCATTTCTACCCGATTTTTGCGATTAGTCGTTCAATAAGATCGAGTAATATAAAAAATTGTGGTCAATCAAAAATATAAACACCCCAAACTAACACACAACCTAACCCTAGTTGTATTTCTTGTTTCTGATTGTGGTATTGGGTCGTTGACGGTAGTGGTAATGGGTGATTGGTAGGGTGTTGCCGTGATAGTTGCTATGACGATGGCGGTACTCCGACGGTGAGGGTGGCGATGGTTAAGGAGTCATTGATAGAGTTGGGCGGGGTAAGTTTTCTTGGGTTTTGCAGCTTAATGGATGAGTTCAATTTTTTTTTTTGATGAACGGATGAGTTCGATTACGTAAACAGAAATGCAAATAATGAAATTAATTGCGGTAATTAAAGGGTCAGTTGCTTGATTCATAGGTTTAATATTTAGGATTAATAAGCTTGATTAATGAGATAATTTTTTTTATCAAAATTAATGGGATAGTTAATTGATTACTTAATAGAAGAGTTTAATTATAGAAAACGTAAATACAAACAATGAAATTAATTGTGTTAATTAAGGGTTGGTTGCTTGATTCATGGGTTTAATTTCTAGGGATAATTAGTTTGATTAATGGGATAGCTAATTGATGACTTAATAGACGAGTTTAATTATTACATAAATTCAATTAACGAAATTGAAGGTGTTAATTAAGTGGTCAATGACTTAATTAATGAGGTTAATTAATTAATAGGAACAACTAGTTAATTGATGGGGCTAATTTTCAAATTAACTTGAAGATATCAATGGTGTTAGTTGCTAATTAAATGGGGCTTTTATTGCTTAAATTAAATTAATGGAATAATTAAGTTGATTAGATTGATTAATGGATTTATTGGGATTTTACAAAAAAAATTAAAATCGTGGATATTTTAAAATAGAAAAAACAAAATTAAGAAAAACTCGTGAAGGTTGATAGGGCTGTTCATGGGCCGGGCAGGGGCTAAGCCAGTGAAATTTTTTTCGGGCCGGGCTAGATAGTATAAGCCCAACCCCTTATCTAACTGAGTTATCGGGCGGGTCGGGCCGTGCTTCGGGTAGGGGTAGGCTACCTGCAGCCCAACACACGGGCTTGTTGGGTGGGCCTGTTTGCCGAATTTTGTATATACATTTTTATTTAAAAATAATGAATATTTTTGTAACTTAATATTTGTGTAAATTATATTTTTGAATCAAAAGTAAAATCAAAATTGATAAAAATAAAATAATGAACTACATCTAATAGAATGAATAAATCTCAATTATGGTGACACCTTCTAACTTATTTGTCATTTGTATTACTCTACCATTTAAAACTTATATGTTTAATACATGAAAAAAAATAATACATTATTTATAATATCTAAAATTTTAAAACTTCAAATTTCAATAATGAGAGACTTATTTCAAAATTTTAAATTTAATGATCTAAAAGTGTAACTTTTTTTCAAAGGAATGGTAGGTTGGACTGGGCTTGACCGCGGGCTCTTAGACCGGGCATCGGAGCGAGTAATGGGTTTGGGGGCAAACCTAAACCCTCTTTTTAAGGATATTGGGCCCAGGCTCGAGCGGGTCAATTATTGAGTCTATCGGGCTTTGGCCTATTTTTTTTCGGGGTAACAAAATCCGTGGATAATCAGGCCATGGACACCTCTAAAAGTTGGTATGGAACTAACAGTGGGCCCATATAAAGGATAGTTTGGCAAATTATATTTATATGTTACACTGAAATCATGAATTTTGAACAATTATCTTAACAGAGGCTATTGATAGGTGTTGTATTACACATGCACATATTTCAAACGATAGGGGTTATGTGTAATAAAGCAATTGTTAGGAGTTTAAGTGATTAAGTGATAAATTTTAAAAATTTAAATGTAATTTATTTTTTTTATTAATAAACACAAATTCATTACAATTTTTTTATATTATTACAATGTATTAAAAGTATCAAAACTTTCAATCTATCAAAAATAATGTAATGTAACCCCGTTAGTTTTACGTTAGTTTTTTTGAGACACTGGATTGGTTTTTGACCAAAATATAATTAACGAAAGCTAACAGAAATGTCATATTGTAATACTTTTGATATATTATGGGTATAAAATAAAAAGATATAATTTTTAAGGGTATAAAATAAAAAATTAAAAATCTTTCAAGGTGCAAAATGCAAAAAGCCCACAAAAATTTAGCAACGGCTACTTGGTCATTTGTTAACTCAACCCAACCCAAAACACACAGACAGTACAGCTCACATCTGAAGCTTCAGCTTCAGCTTCACCTACACAATTGACCGTTAGAAGAACATCAAATGACCATAAAGTTCGAAAAACCAAACCCCTAACAACCCCACCTTCCTTTCCCAACACAGGAGCGTACCAAACCGACCGTTGTCACTCTCTTTCCTCCACCACTCTCACTGTTCCTCCCAAGAAAAACCTTGAAAGGCCCTCTTTGCTTCCACAAAGAGGCCTTTTCACAAACACCCACATCGCAAAAAACACCCAATTTGGATCAAACCTGCAAGAACTACAGTTTTTTTTTTTTACAGATTTTGAAGCTGAAACAAAACAACCCACAAAAAAAAATGGATTCGAATCAGAGAAGAAAAAGTGGGATTAATCTCCCATCTACAATGTCTCAAACCTCGTTACGCCTCGAAACATTTTCGGGTTCTTCTCCTTCGTTTCAATCAACATCGAATTTGCCTTCGCCGTTGGCAATGTCACCGAGGACTATATCGAATTTATCTTCGCCATCAAAGTCTGTGACATGTAGTGACAGGTTTATTCCATGTAGATCTTCGTCGAGGCTTCACACTTTCGGGCTTATAGACAAGGCATCCCCGGTGAAAGAAGGAGGAAACGAGGCTTATTCGAGGTTGTTAAAGTCTGAGCTTTTTGGGTCTGATTTTGGCTGTTTTTCTTCTCCTGCAGGTAAGGGGTCGCCGATGAGTCCGAGCAAGAATATGCTGAGGTTTAAGGTGGATGATTCGTGTCCGAGTTCGCCGTATTCGCCTTCGATCTTGGGGCAGGATAGTGGGTTGTCTGGTGAGGTTTCGACACCGCCCAAACCGCCTAGGAAGGTGCCCAAGACACCCCATAAGGTACTCATCTGCTTTTTTCCTTTCATTTGTATCTGTAAAAGATTTGTGTTTTTAGTATATAATATGTTTCATTAGAGGGAAAATTAGGAGATAGAAAATAAAATCATGACTTTTATGCTGTTGTTGATTGATTATTAGAAAGAACCAGCGCATTGAGCTAAATGCTATTGTGTTGAGAATATTTTTTTTATTATTGGTCTGAATAAAATGTCTGCTACCATATAAAACCTTATTACTTTCCTTCATTTCCTGTCTTTTCTTGAGCAATTAGAAGGTAGTACTGTTTCCTAGGCAGTAGTTTCATACAAATGCCCGAGCGTAAGAACTAGTACACTGAGGAAAACTCGAGGAAATTAGGCCAAATGATCTAGCTTGTTTTCCAACTGCGTATAGGTAGATAGTCAATGGTCACATACTGCCCATGATGATTTATATAGCATTCAAAAATACAAAAAAGTGACAAATTTGGCTAATGAACAAGTTTATTGTTAGAAGTTCAAAAAAAAAAAAAAAAAGAACAAGTTTATTAAGACAAACTGAAGATCTCTCTCTCTCTCTCTCCCCCCCCCCCCAAAAAAAAAAAAAAAAAACCCAAAACATACATGCATATACACACACAGCCACCATTGCCATATATGGAAGGATTTTGTGCACTTGGGTATGGTTGTAATGATAGAAACCCTTTGCTGATAGAATTTTGATAATTGCAGGTATTAGATGCGCCAGCACTTCAAGATGATTTCTACTTGAACCTTGTTGACTGGTCGTCGCAGAATGTCCTTGCTGTCGGATTGGGAACTTGTGTTTATCTATGGACGGCAACAACCAGCAAAGTAAGTCTGATAGATATCGAAAAATATAAAAACTTGATTCTTTATCATCCTTCGATAAAAGTATGATTTAGAGCTTTGGTTCTTTATCATGCTTCACAAATTTAGATTCTCTGTCTTTCATCAATTTGAACTTTAATGGAAAAGCTTCCGCCTTTCTTTTTTCAAGTTATAGCACCAAATGAAGGAAGATTAGACTATGCTGTTTGACAGTGCATAATATAATTTTCAGGTAACAAAGTTGTGTGACTTGGGACCTAATGATGGTGTGTGCTCAGTCCAGTGGACACGAGAGGGTTCATACATATCAATTGGTACAAGTCTTGGTCAAGTTCAGGTAGCTAAGTGCCTAATCTTATGTCATCCTGCTTATCTTCATTCAAATTGTGCATTTGTTTCAGGGGATATCGTGCATTATTGATCAACAATACTGTTCAAGTTCACCAAAAATTCTTTGCCTCTTGTTCAGGTTTGGGATGGGACTCAGTGCAAGAGGGTTCGAACAATGGGTGGTCANCAACAATACTGTTCAAGTTCACCAAAAATTCTTTGCCTTGTTCAGGTTTGGGATGGGACTCAGTGCAAGAGGGTTCGAACAATGGGTGGTCACCAAACAAGAGCCAGTGTTTTGGCGTGGAGTTCGCGAATACTATCATCTGGAAGCAGAGACCGAAACATACTTCAGCATGATCTCCGTGTGTCTACTGACTTTGTTAGCAAGCTTGTTGGACACAAATCAGAGGTACTATAGTGAATTTTTTTCGGAGTAAAATTCCAAAAAATCACATTACTTTTGACATATGAGAGTTAATGTCTTCGTTTTTTATCCTTCAGGTTTGTGGGTTGAAGTGGTCTCATGATGACCGGGAACTTGCATCGGGTGGCAATGATAATCAGGTAGTTATTCATCCATTGGACTTATTGTTTCCCATATTCCAAGTATGCTTCAATATGTAGTGCAGTAATTCAAATTGCTTATGGTATGGTGAACAGCTTTTGGTCTGGAATCAACATTCTCAGCAGCCAATACTAAAACTTGCAGAGCACACTGCCGCTGTAAAAGCCATTGCCTGGTCACCCCACCAGAATGGCCTTCTTGCATCTGGGGGTGGAACTGCTGACCGGTGCATTCGCTTCTGGAACACTATGAATGGCAATCAATTAAACAGTGTCGACACAGGGAGCCAGGTCTCCGTCTAGAATGCTACCTAAATTAGTAAAACAATGTTTAAAATGCATTTTTCACAGCTTTAAATACTTCTTGGGTTCCCAAAATTGAATAAAAAACTTATCAAGAAAAAGTTTAGAGTGAAGATTCAACATCACTGGCTAACAAATTTCATGGCTTCACCTGCAGGTATGCAATCTAGCATGGAGTAGGAATGTGAATGAACTAGTTAGCACCCATGGCTACTCCCAAAATCAAATTATGGTGTGGAAGTATCCATCATTGGCGAAGGTATCAAACTTTAGCCCGTAATGAATTTTTTGCCATCCTTCCTACACTAGGCTTTCAGTATCCTGTTTTTCTGTCGTAAGAGAATTACATATTTCCTTTTGGATCTCTCTTCTCTTCGATAGGTTGCAACTCTAACTGGCCATAGTTTGCGGGTTCTCTATCTTGCCATGTCACCTGATGGTCAGGTACTGCTACAAGCCATACATAGTTTTAAGTGTCGAAAGAATTCATTTGTAAAGCCATCTCAACTTGTCTTGGAAAAGTAATTAATTGTTCATCTCCACTTGCTTGCGTAGACAATAGTGACTGGAGCAGGGGATGAGACACTGCGGTTTTGGAACATCTTCCCATCCATGAAAACCCCGGTGAGTGAACTACCCATGAAGGAATTATCCAGTTTTTTTCTGATCAAAAGTGCAATGTCCCTTAAAATCTCATCAAAAGTCACTGATCATAGCAATGGCTTCCTCTTCTCGTTCAGGCACCAGTGAAGAATACAGGACTTTGGTCATTAGGAAGAACTCATATTCGATGATAAAATCCTTGCACAGTTGGACAAAACCTATTTTTTTCGATTAATTTGTAAATAAATGGAGAGAAAATTTTGTGTGCATTGATCCAAAGTATAAAAGAAGGTAGCAGATTTTTCTTCTTGCAACAAGTATTGAACAGGTTAAGAATTACTTGCATAAATTTGGAAATTGTAAAGTATTTACTTTAAGGTCCTTTGAGGTTACAGACACTAGTATGTGTAGATCTTGTACTTCAATTTTATACAGTTCCAACATATATAAAATAAACTTTCCCATTGATTTACTTTATTTGTTATCATATTTTCTCATTTTGTTAGAGATGTGAGGCCAAAGTCTCGAGGAAAGTAGATAAACTCTGTGTCTCTAAAACGAGACACAGANATATTTTCTCATTTTGTTAGAGATGTGTGGCCAAAGTCTCGAGGAAAGTAGATAAACTCTGTGTCTCTAAAACGAGACACAGAGTTTTCTTAAAATTAAGGATAATTTTAAGGAATTATCCTTAAAATTCCTCTCTCCTTTGACAGATTTCCAAGTTTTTGTCCTTCTAATCCATTAAAAAATTGGCAGCCGTTATCAATTAGAGTGATATAAAATAAAACTGATATTTTAGAATGTTAATGTGAAAAATTTTATAGTTGAGGGTGTAAAGTGAAATATGAATAATTGTTTAGGGAGATAAAGTATACACTTTTTCCATTGATGAGCGTGTTTTCAAAACACACTTTTATATAAAAAAAAACTATGATAATGTCATCGTTGTTAATCTCATCACTTACGTAACACCCACAAAGGATAATATTTTCAATTGTCAGCTATNTTCAAAACACACTTTTATATAAAAAAAAACTATGATAATGTCATCGTTGTTAATCTCATCACTTACGTAACACCCACAAAGGATAATATTTTCAATTGTCAGCTATTTTAATAACAAGTCCATCATGCATACCTTGTGCTGGGGTTGGAATGTGCAACACTTTTATTTTTATTTTTTTATTCATATAATAAAGTTATACTCATTCGCACTTGCGTACTATGTCTTCATTAAGTTTCAAAAACTTTCATTTAATGNAAGGATAATATTTTCAATTGTCAGCTATTTTAATAACAAGTCCATCATGCATACCTTGTGCTGGGGTTGGAATGTGCAACACTCTCTTTTTTTTTTCTTTTTTTATTCATATAATAAAGTTATACTGAGAAACAAATCATTCGCACTTGCGTACTATGTCTTCATTAAGTTTCAAAAACTTTCATTTAATTTTCAGCTGTTTTGTATTTATTTATATTATTAATATCATCAGTTTTACATCATATCGTTAGTAATAGACTATAATTTATGCAATAAATAAAAAAAAGAAATTCACGCACTTTTTTCATACAATATCAGACAAACAAGTTATTATTTNATCATATCGTTAGTAATAGACTATAATTTATGCAATAAATAAAAAAAAGAAATTCACACACTTTTTTCATACAATATCAGACAAATATGTTATTATTTGTATGATATTAATCTGGCACATTTATTATTCATGTGAATTAGTCGAAACATCTTTGGATTCACATCGTAATTGTGTCGTGTGAAAAATTACCAACCCTAAACATACCTTTTTAATATAGGTATAAGTATAATCAATCAGTCAAGACAAACTCCAGCAGCAGAACACAGCTGGACATGGTAACAAATTTTCCAACAGCTCTTCTGTAAGCTATTCTAATGATGCATGTTCACATNCATGTGAATTAGTCGAAACATCTTTGGATTCACATCGTAATTGTGTCGTGTGAAAAATTACCAACCCTAAACATACCTTTTTAATATAGGTATAAGTATAATCAATCACAGCTGGACATGGTAACAAATTTTCCAACAGCTCTTCTGTAAGCTATTCTAATGATGCATGTTCACACCTACTCCATGAGAACTGTTTGAAGTGGACCAAGAAAAAGTCCACCTGCCTCAAAAATTAAAGAAACAGTATGCATATATGTCAATAAAATCTCAAATCCATTAACTTCAATCCTCAGCCATGTGAACAATCTGATGATTTATTTACAAATAAAACCAACAAGTAAAGCTAACAAGCAGGCTGCAATAGCCTCTAACAACAAAAAAGTATACAAACAACATATTCCCTCGACAGCATTGATTCCTAGTAGCTTCCTTGACATTTCAACAAACTAGATTGACCAACGNCATTAACTTCAATCCTCAGCCATGTGAACAATCTGATGATTTATTTACAAATAAAACTAACAAGCAGGCTGCAATAGCCTCTAACAACAAAAAAGTATACAAACAACATATTCCCTCTACAGCATTGATTCCTAGTAGCTTCCTTGACATTTCAACAAACTAGATTGACCAACGCATGATTATTCACTATGGACATGAACATGCACATGACAAAGCTCTCAGGTTGTTCTTCTTCCAGATTATTTTCCCTTTTATCTGTCGGATTCCGACTTTGCCCATTTCCTCACAACAGCATACAGAAATGTGTCTAATAAGTATCAGGATCACAACTGTAAATTATGATTTTTACATTGAATTGATGGTAACTGGTACAGCTTACTGCATTTGGAGTCTGCATAGCAAAACAATAGGAAGGCAGCACCTCAAAATTCTTCTCCCACCATGCCTGCTAAGTAGACACAGTGAGCATATTTTGAACCTTAGGTTTGTACATATCTTAACATGGAAGACTACATACAATATCCATGTGCACTACAAGTAAACCAGATGAAAAGAAAGACAGTATGCATCTAGGATTTTAAACAGAAACAATCAGTCTAGAAATGAACAGTAATTTGCTCAAGATATTAAAGTGCGTTGACATGTTCAATGATATCTGGCCAATTTTCAGTGATTGGGTAAATGTGTTCAATATGCCGGCCTCCAAGAAGAAAGTGCACGTATAATCCGTCCCCTCCATCCCAGCAACATCCATTGTGCGTCTTCATCAATTATGAAATCTGGGTGGTACGATGACTTCACCCAATCTTTGGCCATCTTCTTGATCTCCTCGTTCAAATCAAGCAGCCTAAATCCAGCCCTGAGATTCCGAACTTGCCACTGCCTGTATGTCTCTGGCCTTTCAATTCTCTCAGCAGCTTCACATGCAATGACATTCTTTGCCTCCTTTCCTAAAATCATTTTCTCGAGCAGTGTTCTTTCTGGAATTTGAAGGGGAATATTAGTCTCAAGCATTTCAAACCAGGAAGAGAAGTAAAAAAGTGCCTCGCGGAATCGTGTGATAAAGAATGGGGCACTATGAGTGCCATTTACAATCCCCTGGATGAAAATATCTGGATTCATATTCCTGATAAGCTTCAGAACAGAATCCCTTGGACAGTCCAACACCACAGTCTCATCAAGTAGATTCCTAAGTCTGAATAGAGAGTTCACTACGAGCACCTCATCTTTTTCAATCTTAAGATCCTCTATCTGGATTGTTTCCCACTTCTGTGCAATGCAATGGAACTCAAATGGAACGTTGAAGGTCACTGCATATTTAGCTAATCGAATTCCCGTCTCCTCAAGCAACTCTGATGGTCGGAAACCCGGGTGTGGAAAATCAATCCCAGTGATCCGAAGTTTGGGAGGTCCACCAAGGCGATTTGAGAGACGTTGTATGAGGGAAGGCCACTGGAAGCCATAAAGAATACCAAAATCAATAATATGGAGTCTGGTTGCATTTTTGGCTATATTCATAATTGTCTTGTTTGCGAAAAGATTGGAGATCTTTCTAAAGGGACAAGCAGCAAGAAAGAGATGGTAAGCTTTCAAGAGATCAGCAGCCGATGTTGGCATCTTAGTAATGTCTCTGTATATCTGGGTTCCAGAGCCAACCATGCGTGCTTCAAGACCATCAGCAAAATAATAAGCCAGTCTCTGCATGCCATCCCCTGTTGGAGAAGAATGTTGCCTGATCTGCTTCAGAAACTCATTTGTGGTCCTTCGATCATCAGCTGCAACCGCTTGTGCACAGAGTGTCAACATAGTTCTCAAGTCCACCACTTCTCTTTTACCTCCCTTCTTACCACCATTAGATCCCTTTGATTGACCATTTTGTGGCAGAATTTTACTTTTTCCATTCTGCAAAGTTTCACGAAGAGCAGCTTCACTTTGCCCTGCATTACATAGCAGCACCATATCAAACATTTCTGGTCTCACAGTTGATTCAGTGTAGAATGCCGACTGCTTGTTACTCCTTCTCTCGACATCCGAATCTCCACGATGATGATTCTTCCTTCCCCTTGATCCATCAATGGAGCAATCGTTCTCATACTTCTTCTCCATTTGGATTATCACACCCTTAATCTCTTCCTTTTGATCCTTCACAACCGACTCAGTACTCCCCCATTTGGCAAAGTATCCGTTGCCATTAGGTTGGAAGGAACTTGACTCCTCAACCCCCTTTTTAGACTTCATAACAGACTGGCCATCCCTAAACATATCAGAAATACTGAAGGTACTCTCTAGTGAATCCACAGGACCAGTGCTACTCGACATGCTGTAGGAAGGCTGAGAAGTGGTCTGTGAAGCAAGGTCCACAGAAAAACTTTCTACATAGGATGAATCATACTCACTAAGATGAGGAACCCAACTTGGGCATGACAAGTCTCCATCACCAGCAATGTCACTACCATAACAATTGCTGCAATCTCCAACACATTTTTCAACAGGGCTTTTGGTTTTTCGATCTATATTAGGCATCGGCTGGCGATCAGGTGAAGGAGGGTACTTCTCCCCAATGACCTCATAGAACGATTTCTCAGCAGCCTGAAGAGCGGCAGACTCTTGAAACAGACATGGCCTCTCTTCTGTATCTTCTTCCATAAGCATCTCACTTATGTACTTAAGGACCACATCACTCAAATCACAGTCCTCATGAGAATCACCCCCCGAATTCACACTATACGACTGAATTAAACTATTACAGTCTGAATCAGACGGAAGTGGAGGAATTTGAACAAAGTTTTGATTTTCGTAATTACTACCAACATTAAAATCATCCAACAAATTCTGATCCGAAAAAACTGAAAGGGTTTCATCATCGTCTATGGTTACATTCCTTGAAGGATAATCCCTTCCCAAATTTCTATCCATGACCAGCAAGTCAACAAAAGGTGTAAAACCCAGGATGGAAATTTACCACCTTAGCAAGAAATATTCTGAACAAATAATAACCAATCCTAAAAAGTTCAACTCCACCACTAAAATCTTTCTACATCTCTCTTCCTCGATCTTACAACTTTTACAAAAAATTTTACAAATTCAAGTTTTGTATAATAACAATTGCAACATACAAAGAACAACACTGAACTTGGGGAGATGAAAAATAAGATCTTTCAAGCAACAAAAGGTATCATAAGCTTATGTTTCGGATTAATTAGAGGACATGAACGAATAAAGTGTTTAAACTCTACATATATATTCATCTTTATATCCATAGTAGAGAACAAAAAAGTCAAACAGAATTCAAGCTAAAGCATAAAAGGAGAGACATTCAGCTTCAAAACCCTAGAGTTCCTATGTGTGTATGTATACACCGAAATGTTAGAACCATTAAGGATTCAAAAATTGTATAAGACATAGAAAGATGAGGTACCTCAGGGGTAGCCCAAGACGAGAGAGAGAGTCTTAAACTATAAACTTCGGGCATCAACCTTTTTTAACATTTAAACCCCAAAAGTCAAAACCTGGCAGGCTATTCTGAAGAAGAATTTTTTTTTCTTTTTTCGTAAATGACACTTTGTACCCTAATTTTGTTTTAGAATATCAATTTAAACCCTAAATCCTTGAAATGTGATATTTTGGGATGGCAGTTTTTATAGTATTCAGTATATTCCAGTTCATTGCAACCCATTTAGAATGATACCAAATCTAAAATTAATAAAATCACATTAATAGAGTTGGGTAAATTTTCCTTTTTGAGTCACTTTTCATTGCATACAAATTACATACTAACTAAATATGGTCAACGTAGCATACTACTATGATACCCAAAAGTTTATCCAATTTTTTTTTTTATTTGGGGGGAGGGGACTTGAACCTTTTATAAGACAAAGAGTATCATTTGATCAATAAGAAATTGATTGTATGATTTTTAAGATAGGGATTAAATTGAATTTATGAAATTTTTCTAAACCCAACCCTTAAATTTTGTTCACAGAACAATGTACTATATTTAATTTGATATTTCTTAACTAACACAAATACATTAATCACAAAGATATTTGCTATGAATTTACCTAAATCCACTCAAACCCACCCACCTCGTGGGTTTGTTGAAACTCTTATACATGGATTTTACTTGCAGGCCTGTTACAGGTCAAGATTCAAATCTCGGACCTAAAATTTGCAATCAAACAAGAAATAAGGTGATGTATTGAATTATTTTGATAAAGCCAACATTATGAATTCTACCTAAACCCATGAAACAAACATGGCCTAAGTGATGTGATAATTCGCCTCTCCAAGGAATGTAACCATAGACGTTGAATGAGGGAAGGCCACTGGAAACCATAAAGAACACCAAAATCAATAATGTGGAGCCTGGTTGCATTTTTGGCTACATTCATAATTGTCTTGTTTGAGAAAAGATTGGAGATCTTTCTAAAGGGACAAGCAGCAAGAAAGAGATGGTAAGCTTTCAAGAGATCAGCAGCCGATGTTGGCATCTTAGTAATGTCTCTGTATATCTGGGTTCCAGAGCCAGCCATGCGTGCTTCAAGACCATCAGCAAAATAATAAGCTAAATTTGGATCATAAATATAAAATATTTAAACATTAAGAGCGCAATTTATAATTAGTCTAAATTTTTTTATTGACAAAATGGATGACAATTATTCTCAAGTGCAAATTGATATGAATTTATGTCTTTTTAGGGTATAAATTGATATTTTTAAACTTTGAAGATGTAAATCAAAATTCAAATAATTTTTCAAGGTGTAAGTTGAGATTAGCCATAAAAATAATATAATTGTGGATTTTATAAAAATAATATAAGACCGAAAGTCTTACCGGCTCTTTCTTTCTTGGTCAACCGTCAATATGTGTACCACGAGGGCCCTTCATAGNTCATTTAAAAAAGACAAAAAAAGGACAGGTAATGGGGGAGTTCAAATCGGATCACCAAATGGACTAATGACCCATATTATCACATGAGGCTTGAAATTATAATGATCTAGTGAAGTGGGCCCACCTTTTCCGTATCACACCATCAGATTTTTAGGTGACTTTTGTGCACATTGCGCACGTGTCGGTCGGCATTGTGTCAGAACTGTGCCTCCGGTCATTCAGACCGAAAGTCTTACCGGCTCTTTCTTTCTTGGTCAACCGTCAATATGTGTACCACGAGGGCCCTTCATAGAAAATTAATAATAATTCCGTGTCTAAATACATTATGTAATATTAAAAATTAAATTAATCTTATAATATTTATATTTTAAATAATAATTTATTTTTTTAATTATACAATTTAAAATTAAAATAAATAAAAAAAGTAAGTATAAACTGATGATATTATTTGACATTGAAAAATATGTTAATTGAATTGTTTGACATTAAATGTAGTGCAAAAAAGTTAATGGTTTTGGGCGAAAAAAAATTGAGAAGAATTTTATACTACTAGATTAAATAAATAGAGATTAGATCAATCTTGATAGTTTTTATACTTTTATAAATTAAAAACTTAATTTTTTAATTGTAATATTAGATAGATTGAGATAAGGTGTTAGTACTTCTCGTGTTGTGCCGTGTTATTGATCAATAAAAAATATTTAATTCAAGAACAATTCATATGATATTATGTAAAAGAAAATTATAAAATACTTATTTTTTGTTTTACAATTTTTATTGATTATCTTATTTGCATATAACCAAAATTTAATTAATTTTTTTTTCCTTGTCAATTGCCCGTGTCATTTTTAAATTTTATGTCAAGTGGGGTTCGTGGCGTGTTCATGTCAATAGGTAAAATTGACACCCCTAAATTTGAAGTATATTAACCCTTTAAACATGTGGCTTTTTTAATTGCAAGCATATTTATAAGATAAAGAGAGGTATATGACAAAAGTAATATCTATAATATAAAATAAAACAGACTTCAATCAGTTTAGTCGACGATTTCAAATAGATTTATTCAAAGATTGTCAATATTTCTTTTAAAATTTATTCATATTACACCGTACCTTCCAGCACACACACTACCCTAAAGAATGTCTCTTAAAAGTTGATGTGTTTAATGTACGTGTGATCTGTTTGTTATCAATTCTAAATAGTTGTTGTTTGTAATCAATTCTAAATGGTTGTTATTTGCTGAATCATTTGAATTTCAATTGGGCATTTTTCAAATTGATTTGCCAGAAATAAAAATCTCCATGTAAAGTAAGAGAAGACTACCGAACCGCGAACAAAAAATTTTGGTATTGTATTTTCAAATTTAATAATTTTAATAGGTATTTTTATTGGGTAGCGTGGTCTTTTCAGCCTTCCTCAGTTGGATGGTATCTTTGCGAGGGATTTGTTGAGTGTACTATGAGCAGTACTAATTACTTAAAAATTGTCGAAACTGCCCAATCACATCTCATTTATCCTAACTTCCACACACCTTAGTATAGTCAATGGGATTAAACAATGGATTTAGCTAATACATTGTCTTAACTTGAAGCTAAACCTAGTTTATGAATAATTAACTCAATTTTGTTGTGTTAATTCGGTCGTCGTGTGCGTCTTTGGAACTAAGTACATAGCACATAGTCGTTTTGTATTATGCTTTGTCTTTAATGACGTGGTTACAAATTTCTATCATTAATTATATATTAGGAACCCTAATTTGTTTATTAAGCCGTTCTAATGATTGCATGTTACAAATATTGGAAAATTTTCAGTTATTTCTCTTATAGTTTATCATACCTTCAATGATATCTCTTTTATTTTTTTTAAATCTTCACTAATACCCACTATCAGATTAAAAGTATTAACTAAAAGAGCAATGTTATTAGGACATCGTGTAGTATCATGAATTGAATGATACAGTTTTACTAAATTGTCTATTATATATTTTAGGAAAAATTTCATCCACACCCCCTCTAGATAGACTCGAATATTAATACGTAAATTTTAATAACTAACAGCTCAGGTAGAACCCAAATTGGCTAGAATTTTAATACGTAATTTTTTTTAGTAAACTCAAATTCTAATATTTAAAAAAAAAAAAAATTAATCAGCTCGAATCAAATTTTAATATGTAAAAAAAATAAATTTTAATTAACTCAAATTTTAATATGTTCAAAAAGGAATTTTAATCGGCTCGAATTTTATGTAAAAAAATATTTTATTCATCTGATTTCCTACCCGACTTTCTACTCGATTGTTTTGGGCAGAATTCGGGTAAAAATAATACACTTGATTGGATAGGGTAGACCAAAAAAAATCTTTTTCGCAAAAATATCAAATATGAAGATAAAATACCATAATTTCTACTNAATACACTTACTTGGATAGGGTAGACCAAAAAAAATCTTTTTCGCAAAAATATCAAATATGAAGATAAAATACCATAATTTCTACTAATATAGAATGAACACCATAGCTATTGGTGTCCAAAGCACAACTAGAAGTTACTACAAGAGATAAAAGAGAACATTCCCAAGCAAACCCAAATTTGAATATGGTGTAATCATTTCTAGGAAGTCACGTCACGCTTCGATAATAGTGTCTTGATTTAATGGTCAAATATTCTTTAATAATTTGGTTATAAGAGACGATGTTTATTGGTGTATAAAGAGTGAGCACATACGCTCCTGACAGAGATTTAACTATATTCTTATATTTTTGTAGATTGACCCAAATTTTCAATTGGANAGCACATACGCTCCTGAGAGAGATTTAACTATATTCTTATATTTTTGTAGATTGACCCAAATTTTCAATTGGACAAACTATGCATTCTCATTGATTTCACGTCACTAACACAGTACAAACTCACTCATAGCTCTTCCAATTCATTCCACCTCACGCTTCCTTAATTTTTGACACCATCAGTGGGAATGTCGTGCTCAATTGTTCAGCTCGGTAATTTGTTGCACCTAATTTAGGGACGAATAAGTGGTCAATTTAATTTCCATGTAACTTTGTACTCCCTGTTTAAAGATTTCGAAGAACATGGTTCTATTAGCATCAGCTGATTTTGATCTTATTCCTACGTTTGTATTCTAACTATTAATAAGAATAGAAAGATTTCCATAAGACCCACGAGAAATAAAATCTTTTTTTTTTGGGAGGAAAAAGAGAGAAGAGGAGGGGGAATAGCCTATAAGACATAATAGTATTTTTGTTTGAAGTGATTATGCTTTCATATTGTTGTTCGGATTCTGGTGGTCTTTTTGTCCAATTTCGTGATAGAAAAATGGTTAAACTGAGAGATCATGTGTCCTGTTTTGTTACAAAGATGTTGGACTCAAATATTCAGTATTTAAGCATTGTTTTTCGGTAGTTGCGTCGGGTATGTGTGACAAAAATTTCAACTTATTTTAAATTTGAATTATCAATTCTCCAAAGTGGGACCACTTTGTATTTACTTCTGTGGACTAAATCCTACTTTCTAGTAATCACTTGTTAATCACATGAATTATGAAGTTAAACCGGGAGACATTAAAGAGGAATGAACTCAGGACGCCTGAATATATAGTTTATCCCAAGTCAATCCTACACTACCAAACTACCTGTGCGGGATTTTGAATTCAAATATTTCTTTTCACTTAAGCTAGGATCTTAATTTTTCTAATTCAACTTGTACCCTATTAAATTACTTGAGGCAACGTTGTTTAACTCGAGAATAAAACTTGAATAGTTTTATAAAATGGGTTGAACTTGGTTAACCTCTCACCCCCCGAAACATGAGAGAGTTACACACCAAAAAAAATAAAACAGAAAAAAAAACAAAAGCGTACTATATAAGGAATAACTCTCAAGAAATACGCCATGGATATTAATAAAAAAATAATGTTATTTAAACTTAATTTATTAATATAATCATCATACTAATTCCACTAGTCATGAGTTAATGACAAGAAGATCCGAAAAGAACTACATTTTTAACCTGGACTTAGCGAAGATGATCTCACTCGGGTGGCTTCCAAGGGTGTCTTTCCCTTCTTTCAACATGAAACTGGATCCTTCATGAGTTTCATGATCTCAATTTCACTCGATAGTAAATCATCTTTTATTAATTCAAGTAGACTTGCTACTTGTAACTGAGGGTCGCCCATTGAAGAGAATGCTTTACAATTAAAAAAAATTAAGTGAGAATATAACAGAGAAGATCTCGATATCTATGCGTGAAACTATCGTGTCGTGTGTTGGGGTTTAGTATCCTGACTGTTTACTGGCCCAAATAGTCCGTGTCACCTTACGTCTTGGTCCGAGGATGCTCAAACAAACTAAAGAACCTTTTCTGTAGTATACGAGTTGACAAGCCCAACTCTCATCAAAATGATCAAGTTAACTGTTCTTTCACATTGAAAATTTGCTTCATCATTAAGGGGTCCGTGGTTTATTAATACCTTTGTCTTACGAAGTTTTGTCTTCTTTAGATCAAGAGTTTAATTTTCTTAGATAACAAAAGCTTCTTTGGTTGGTAAGACACACCTTAGTTGTTTGGATGAATTGTCCTGTGTTTTTTTTGTTAGATAACAAAAGCGTCTTTGGTTGGTAAGAA